TGAAAAGAAAAATAAATACACAGTGAAAAATATATACGAATACAAATGTATTTCTTAAATAACTATATTTTATTTGACATACATATTGGAATGAATACAAACTAATAAAGGTATGTCAACTGAATTTGACATTTTTTTCTAATTTGTATTTATTCTAAAGGTATGTCAACTAGTTATGTATTTTATTTAAGAATGAGTACACCAAATATTCAATTATTTCTTTCAATTTTATATTTCATTCACTTTTTCATCATACTAATTTTTTGTATTTTATATATTATTATATAAAATTCTAAATAAAAACTAGAATAAATAGAAATACAAATAAAATACATATTGAAATGAATACATACATACAGGATTTTTGAAATATATGAAAATACAAATATATTTTTTAAATGACTATATAGATAAATTCGGCATACCTATTGGAATGAATACAAACTAATAAAAAACTATAATAAATATAAATAGAATATATTGTGGAATGAATATAATTTTAAAAAGGTAAAAATTCTGGAGAAAAAAAAAACAAAATTTAAATTTTATTTGAAAATGTAACTAATGAGAACATTAAGGATGCTTGCCTTTTTTTGAAATATTCCCCCCCTTAATTTTCTCTTATTAAATAATTATATTCTTTAAATAAAAATAAATAATAAAAACATACGTAACAAACTAAAATGACATTTTTACTAAATATTGAAGTTGTTAATGAGTCCTCTTAAATGCTAAAATATTGACATTTTGAAAAATTTCCCTTTACAAAATCACTGTTAAAAGATAATGACAAGAATGAGCCTTTTATTGAACGATAATGATATAGATGAGCTAAAATTTTAACGAGTGACATAAATAAACCTTTTCTGAAAGTTCGATATCATATTTAAGCCTTTTCCCTTTATTTTAAATAATCAAAACTACAAATTTATAAATTTCAATTTCTAACTCCACCTGTGTTAACCGATACAACTTCGTAGAAAGAGATTTTCTTATTGAATATTATCTTGTGACTTGAACAATTTTAGAATACATCTCCACAGATAAACTAATTAGATAAATTGGGTGGCAGCAATAGTTTAATTCAGTTTGCAATTAATTACTATACTACATAAATTTCCTTCCCATTATTCCACATTCATTCATTTGATTATCAAATTGAGAGCAACGTCACTATTTTATAACGGAGTACAATATTCCTAGAGTGCATCATCAACGTGTATTTAATAGTTTCAGCAGCTTCCTTACAGTTTGTTCGATCGATATCTTTAATTTGTTTATCGAAAGGTCAACACCATTTTTTATGTACAACTTTAGACAAATCAAACACGCGTCATCCTTCATGATTTGCTGAAATACTTGCATATGTTTTAAGTTTTATAGCATTTTATTAGGAATGTTATAGATATATACCGTGTGATTAACTAGTTTATCAATATAATTGAAATGAATATAAAACATATATATGATGTACATGTTTAAGTATATTTATTATATGTATGTTGAATATCAAATGTGCACAAACTATACATTTTGTAAACTAGTTGGCAGCAGTGTTTAGGGCGGTAATAAATCCGTCTCTTCAATATTTTCATATGATAAATGAAAAAGACGATCCCAGAGCATTGTCGTATGGGCCTGTGGCATGGACAAAATTCAGCGGGTCAAATTGGCCTGATTTTGGCCCACTGTGCGCACCCAAAATATGTCAAACTTCTCGTGGGCCGCTAGATTAGTTGGAGTCTTGGCCCAACATTCTTGAGACTACCTCGAAGGATACTATGCTTTAAAACTGCGATAAAATGTCTGAATTTCAATCATATATTTCTTTGGAGTTCGTATTTGTTAAATCTAAACTCAGATATCGTATATTTAGATTGTTTCGAATTGGGTAAACATCAAAAGTTAGATACGGGGTACACGTTAAATAGCGATATTATATTCAAATATAATATCCATAAAAAAAATAAAATCACCAAAAATGATGGAAAACAAATAAGAGGATTTAACGGAAGTTAGTGATAAAAAACTTCTTGTTTCCAATTAACATACAAATCTAAGTTTTATTTATTGACCGTGCAAAAAATATTTACAAAATCAAATTACTAATACAGAAATTTTAACTAATTTTTTATGATAAACACTTACTAATAACTTGATAAAAACCAGATCATCGAAGATGGGCACTTGATAGTCTTTAAATTGTTATTAATGAATGAGCTAAAAGTTGACGGAAGAAAATCAACTAGGACAAGTAGATAGTCATATCACAATCAGTTTAACTAAAAGCAAAGTCAAATGTTTATTCCTATCCATAAAAATACACAAATAAATTTTTGACTTTGATATTTCCTAAAAACGGTTATGCTATGAGTCTAGTTGTCCAGCTAGTTGGTTCATTATACCAATTTAAAGACCTCATAGATGACTTAGCCACCACTAAAAGTTGTAGTGACTCGTAATTATTATTTTTTAATTTAAAATTAATAAATAAAATTATTTTTAATAATATCTATTAAGATTTTTTAAACGCATGAATTTGAATTAGTTAGATTTCGTGGACATTATAAGCAATTTGAAAAGAGAACAAGTGGGGAATCATTACAAGTCAAGTAACAGAACTTTCTATATTTAGTAAACAAAATCTGTAACCTCTTAATTCTATCCAATCAAATAAGTCCAATTATCCCAACTCCTCTTTGCAGCAACCAAAGACTCAAACTCCACATTTTTTTCTTCAAAGATTCACCACTTTGCCTTGTACCATCATCCTACTCGTCATCAACAAGAATTAATTGTACACATGTCTGCTTCTATTTCTTCTTCTTTTTTGCTTTTTTTTATAATAATAACGATGATATTCGTGTCAGCTTCTAATCACATCTAGTTAATAACGATTATCTATTCAACATGACGTATGTAGTATATCTTTTTGATGAATTTAACTGAACTTAATATTCATTTTTATTAAGCATAAACAAATTTATATGCAAAATTATTAGAATTTTTGAACTATAAAATTCTTGAACCTATAATTACAAAGTTCAATATGAATTCAGTACTTGATATATATATTGAATTCATTAAATTCAAATATTTAATCACTATTTCCTATTGAGTCATGTTATATTTTATCAGAAAAAGTATCGGATATGGAAATAAATTACTTTTTTTGTTCACTTTCATAAGTAATATTGTGCTTTTTGAGAGTCAATTTAACTAATTTTCAAAGTTAAATTAGATTACATTAATTTGATATTTTAAACAAAAAATTTAGATATTTAAAAACTATATAAAAAGTATTATAAATTGCAATTTTTTGCTTATCAATGTGATGAAAAAATACATCTTAAAATGTTAATCAAAGTTCTTAGGATTTGACTCTAAAAATAGAAATCTTAACAAACAATAGTGAACGAAGAGAGTACCTAGCAATTTAATTGATATTTACACTAGAGTAATAGATGCATCAGTTGTATACGCTATTATCACTTAATCATATTTGATTGATATATTATCATCATATATAAAATTAATTAATATGACTTTGATATAAATATGTGGTGGTTACCCTTTCTTATCCTCCTCTTTTGCGTAAAACATTGTGATAATGAAGATTAAAATAAAGAGCAAGTGCCAAAAAGGAAGAATAAACGTGGTTAGCAATAAGGATTTGGAGTGAAAACCCCGAGGGGCACGCTTTGGATCGAATCAAGGAGACAGGACCACTGACTAGGATTCACTAATTTTACATTAAAATAAACTTCACTCTTTTCTAACATTTCTAAGTACAAAAATCTTAAATTAAATATAATTAAACTCGCAGGTACAAAGTGGTAATCACTTTTTATGTTCTCCAATATCTTAATCATAGCCCTTATTATTACTTATGGCCTTTTGAGATCTTCGCCTTATGGATCTCATTATGATGCTCATTATTGATGCTTTAAGAGTATGCAATAATGAGTTCATCATGATATAATATTAGATCAAGATTATTTAGTTAGGTAATAAAGATAACTTTTCTGAGTTATATCATGATGAAATAATCATGAGTCTGAGTGTAGATAACATTAAAAAAAAATAATTCAAAATTGCTTAAAACAGAGAGTTACATATTTTCTTTTTTATCTAACCTATATACAAGAGAGGTGGAGCTAGAGGTGCGTCAATTCATCCGAACCCTTTAATTTGTCGAAAAAAATGTTAACTTTTTTATCATATCTATTAAATATTGAAATTCTCTCGAAGTTTTGATATGTTTATCTTTTTATATATTTTAAAGCTTGAAATTCATGATAAAGTTTTTAATATATATCGACAATATAATAACTTTTACACTAGCTATTAGATGTATTTTTTTATTTAAAACATGTTATTTAGTTTATTCTCTAAGCTCTCTTTTTTCCATTCACTAATCAAATTCCAGCTAATATATACTGCAATTATAAGTTACAATTTCGTTCTTCTCGACATAGCAACTTGTATATATTTAAGTTTCAAGTACTCAAGATGAAGCCGGTAAAATTTGACTTCATTTTTTCATTGTACGAAAGGTACTAAATAAATTAGATTGAATAAAATAATCATGTGAAATCTTCATTTCACGTGTCTAACATTTAAACATCAAAACATCTTTAAAGTGAATGTTAACAAAAAAAAAAAATCAAATCTCAAGGTACTCAAGATCAAAACTACTTGTTAGTAGCATAGTTATTGTTTGTGACGGTCATCAAATAATTCATAACGCATAAATTAAAATTAAATAACTCAAACTCAAACTCCATTTAGTTAACGTATGTTAACTAAATGTGTTATCGCTACAGAGTACAGATTACCATACTAATTGCGCAAGTCCTTATTTTTCCATGCAAAGAAATTAAAATAATCAACTTCTTACGTACTATAAATAATTCTTAGTCCCATCTTATACAAAACTGAGGGGAGCGAGCAAGAATAACAACAAAAACAAAGTTTTTTTTTTTAAAAAAAAAAAAAACTAACTTAAAAAGTTTTTACACTACATATCTTTATTGTCCCTTTCCTCCTGGATTTCTTTTCAACAACAAAAAAAAGAGAACATGTCAACTCTTTGGTCGATGAATTTGGTTAGGGTTTTGTAGTGGAAAATGTGGTAATTGCATGGGAATTGGGTAATTAAATTGTGTTATTGAAGTAAAAGGATCTTGTTTTTGGCCTATTGCTTCCAATGCTTTCACTTGTGTCCTCAAAAATTTCAAATAATTTGCTGCTTCATCAAGCATTGATGCTGTATCCATTTTACTTCCTCCTGGTACTAGCCTTTGCAAAACCCTAATCCTTTCACTTATCCTTTCTCTTCGTTGCCTCGCCGCCACCGTCTGAGGATCCGTTGATATCTTTACATTCTTCCGTTTAGGCTTTTCTAGTACTTCAGCACCGAAATCAACCGGCCTGAATGCTGCAGCTCGGTATATCATTTCTTTCATCTGAGCGATCGCCTCCGGATCAGGCTCTTGATCAATTGACGATACTGATGAACTAGCTTGTTGGAAATTGATGTTTGATGAACTTGGACGCTTATTAGAGCTCTCAATTAACCTCATCTTCTTCGATTTGGATTGTTTTTCTGAAATAAGCTGGAAATTACCGCAATCTCCTAATGAATTTGACTGGAATAGATTGAACTCGTTCGAAGAATTCCCCAGAGATGATTGTGAAACTGCTTCATCAAGTTCATAAGATTTTCTTTTTCTTTGATTTTGTTCTTCTTCCAGTATCTTATGATCAGTAGGCAGACAGTTCAACAGCTGTGGATTAATTCCGGCAGACTCTCCAGAATTCCACAAGCTATTCGAATCAGCAAAAATTACGGACATGCCATCGTCTTCGATTGACGTGTCTGTATTGTTGGTGGTGGTTGCTGACAGTAAACAATCAATGGATTCTAGAGATACAGTATTGGAGATTGGCTTAGCAATTTCGACACCGAAATCGGACATTAGGCCTAATGGATTATTATCAGTGATGTAATTGTTAGGCATATTGAGTATTGGGGAAGAAGAAAAGGCTATATCGGTACAATCCCGGGTTAGATCTGCTGCTCCGGCTTTAGCAGCCATAGAATCAGCAGCCAATCTATTAGCAGCTTCTTGGCGTTGTGGCATGTTCCAATTTGATATTACATGTATTGGATCAAATGAAGATCCAAAATTAAACGGAGTTTCATTCCAATCCAAATTCTCCATTGATATTACCTCTTCAATACCTGCAAAAATGTGAGTCGTCGATTAAAACATGTATGTAATGCAAAATCACTAAAATTTCAATGATGGATTCAATGGCAAAAACTTAAATATTGAATTATGAGTGGGTATGCAACGATTAATCTAGATATTACGGTGACAATCAAGATTGAAATTTAAAGAAAACAACAAACTTACAATTAAGTTAGCTGCAGTCTGCAAGAAAATTAAATGTTGGGTTTCTGTAACAGAATGAAACTCTGTATTATTTAGTGAAATGCAGAAGTAGTGGCTCTAACAACCATAAACCTGTGATAATATACAAAAATAGATATTGCTAACGTCAGTTTTTAGCTACTATATATACAATTTGTCTAGTTGTATAAATGATTAATTAGAACTCAGAAATTTACCATATAACAGAAAACTGCAAGCTGTTAGAGAAAGAAGAGTTTGTTTTAGCTGCAATATTGGAACTTGACCACTTTTGCAATATGTTGTTTGGAAGAACATTAGCTAATTATTTATATATGGAAAACGAAGAAAAAAGAGTAGTATATATTTTAATTGGAAAATATTGGTCTCACAGGAATAAAATATTTTATACTATATAGTTCAAAGAGTTGACAGGAGATGTAATGTTTTTTTTATTATTTGTTATTTAGAGAAGATAAGGCTTTTTGGTCAGTTTCGTGGGGCTAGCTGTGGGGCGCTTCGATTATTATATATTCGAATTCATAGCTTTAAGATTATAATAACAAGGGTTTATTATTCGAATAATATAAATAATTTATTAAATTTAAAAAAAAATTTAAATAATTTTTATCTAGTAAAATCAAAAATAAAATGTTTTAAATATTAATATTATTAATTACATATAAAAATTTACTGAATATATTATTGTTATTGTTGTAATCGTTTTCATCGTGGGGCTGTAAGATTATAGTTTTGCAGATGGGGAGCATGAGTTATTGAGATGCGTTCTGAATGTTAATAAAAAAGAATTATATATATTATTCCGTCAGTTTGAATGTTGTTTTTTTCTTAATTAATAAATAATTAAACATTTTAGGAATTGAGAAAAGCTCTGTCCACCTCCTTTTTGGTTTGCTTAGTTGCTCTAGCAATTGTTGCTCCATGCGTGCTCTAAAAAGCTCATGAAACCACGTATTTTGAAGTCAGTTTAAACTGATTGATAAGATCGTAATAGAGTGATAAAAGAAATTATTTTTAATTTAAATTTTTGAATTTGAACTCTAAATATAGAATTAGTTTCATTATTAAAAAACGCTTCATTCTTTAACACATGAATTTTTTAATGTGAATTTGTGTTTAGTCGAGTTCAAATATAACTATTAGGGTGTAAAAACAAAAAAAAATGATAAAGCCAATTTAACTAATAAATTATCTAAATATAATTAATATTATACATAATTATTCATAAAAAGTAATTAGTAATCTGAAAAATAAAGTAAAAACAAGTTATAGTAGCTTAAAATATATTGATAATAATTAATATTAGAAAAAGATTTACACAATTGGTACATATAAAGAAAGGAAGAGATAAAATCGAAGGTACAAGTCCAATAAAATTTAATAACAATTAAAATTTTAAATCTATTTAAAAAATTAATTACAATTTAAGTTTTGAATCCGATTCTATCTCGTTAGTTAGTGTATATCCTTCGAAGCAACTTTAGGCTTTGGCAAATTTTTCGAATCTTTCTAAAAGACTTCCACTAATCATAACTTTAATCATAGCAATATTTTTGTTACTGCGACTTTTTTACTACTTTTTAGTCTCCCTTTTACCATCTTCTTTTAGATGTTGATGACCAAGTTTACCGAGGGTCAATCATAACCCTTTTAATTGGTTTGTCAGAAAAAATAAAAATAAAAAGGCAAACTTTTTTGCAAATAGTAAAAAATAATTTGGAAAAAAGCAAATGACAGTCAAGGCATTTTTTAGCAAACTTTTTAGGTGTGCTTGGACTCCATTTATAATTGTGAAAATAAAGTTACTTTTTCAATTCCTTTTGGAGCAGTTGACTAGGCAGAACTGTAACTTTGTGACAATTTTAATAACTCATTTCTACTTTTTTGTTTTATTTTTCTGATGTTGAATTTTGGTTGATGGAATTTTATTTTTTTTTAATTTATACAATGAGTTTTGGATAAATTTTTATTTCATAAGCTAAGTTTTAGATTCCAATGGACTCAAAATCTATTCTTTTACCAATTATCACTACAAGTTCTTATTCCTTCCTTCAGTATCCACGGATATATTCCTATCAACCTTCTAAAAAAAATGAATTTAGACTTGTGACATTAAACATATTATAATATTTATGTAAACGTATAACATTTTAAATTTATTGTCTTAAATATATCATAACAATTATATGATTATATACGATTTTTATTATCATAAATGAAATTTTAAATTATCTCTAATTAAAAAAAAACCATTTTTAATGGTCAAAAGAAAATAGATTAGAGAATAAGAGTAGTGGAAGAGTTGAGGAGGCAGAGAGATGTTGGCAGGCAAGAAAAATTGTTTAGGAGTCAGAACTTCAGAAGCTAAGTGAAGATATCAGAAGCTCACCAACTTGCTCCTAGGACTTTGTCTTTTCACATCTTATCTATCCCTCCACTATTTCTTGTTTTTACGTATCATCGTGATATTCAAATCAACTTAATTATATTTCAACTAATTATACATATATTTTTACCTAAAATATATGAAAAATAATAATTTATCAATATTTTTGTCTTCGTAGAGATTTGAATTTGTAGAACAATTTTCCCAAGCAAAGAAATGTATCATTTTCTTAAAATGAAATATATCATAGAATGTAAAATTTGAACTTGTATCGTGAGCAAAGACCAATATATCATACATATAAATAAAATGATACACTAAATGATTAAATAACTTATTTTAAACACTTTTAATTTACATTATAACACTATCTAACACCATTGAATGAAATATCAATCTATTTATTCATGATTGTATTTAAAAATTTTAAACTTGGAAAGAAATAGAAAAATTATGGCAATGTATATTTAGGAGAGCATCTAAAATTTCTGAATCCTACCCACATGTGACCCATCATTACAGCTCAGTGAAATGGGTTGCCATAGAAATTTGCTTGTTTCTGTATAAATTTTCCACCCAGGCCCCTTTCTATATTATCATTAAAAAACAAATTGATTTGATTTTTTCCCTTACTTGTAATTGTCAACGCTCATGTTTTTCTTCACCTTCTAGTCTACTTGTTTTTTATTTATATTTAGATTCGAGTTGTTGTAACCAAATAATAATTTCACACAAATAATTAATTTAGCTCGTAATAATTTGATTCTCTTACTTAAGGTATATATATATATGCTCCATTTACGTATATATTTTAACATAGTAGGAATCAGGGAAACATTTTTTAAAAACAAGACAACATGTACACTGGAATGTTCAATTACGTATGTCTCAATTATTTTATTAGATACTTATACATTCTATTAATTCATAATACTGAATACTTTTACCTACATGTATTTAGCTAGATGGTTGAACTAAATACTTCGATTATTCTGTCGGATACCAATTATTCCTATCATCACTGTTTTTTTTCTCTAATGGAATTTGGTGATTTGTTAGTGGACGAACAAAGTCTAACATTAGTAATTGAAAGGGAAAAAATCTACACATAAGACGTATGATAACTCTTAAGAGTTGAGAAAAATCGTATAGGAGATCAATGACAAATGCAATAGTCAATCATCAAAATTCATCTCAACTCAGTAATTTTAGCATGAAGCATATTTTTATGTGTAGAAATTCACCAAGACAACATTTCAAGACTGGAAACAAAATTTCAGGAAAATGGAAAGGTTTTCGGAATTTATAACCTAAATCTTAAATAATTGTGTGATTATAAATTATTGTACCGGATAAAATAAGTATTTTAAAGTCAAGTTATTCTTGGTCATTAAATAAAAGAAGTAACAAATAGTAAATTCGATATATTGAAAATCTTTTAAGTTTAAAATTGTAGAGAATAAATTGTCAATATTCATTTGTAATTTTTATTTACTTTATTTACCGCTGGACTACACTTTGTCACAAGTAACAAAATTTTTTTTTGCTAACAATGAAAAGTTGTAGCTAAGATAAGATAAAGCCAACCAGGACACGAATGATCAAAGAGAAACAAATTGGTTTTGGATGCAACAATAAAACAGAAATATGATCTCCACGTAACAGGAATTATATCAATGTTAGTTGGATCATTTTATTTTTTTTCTACATTTGTTTAATTACTCTTTTTTTTTTAACATCATCTACTTTAATGTACGTACAGGTCATCAATTTAAGTTGCTTCAAGCCTTGAAAGCTTTTGTCACTATCCGTGGGATGATGAGAAATTTCTTTGTCATATAATACAAAATATTTTTGGAATTTAGTTCAACTACAAGACAACTCCAGTAAATTACAACAATAAATAAGTGTACAAAAGATTACAGTATTGATTTGCTATACCGTAACAAATAACGGATTTACAAAATTTTTACATGTAATTCATTAAAAAAATTATCCATTTTAATAGTATTTGTTTTAGTAAAACTCTTATATAGGATAAAGAAATGAAAAGATAAAATGAATACTGGACATATAAAATTTCTGGGGCATCATAACACATAATGTGAAAGAAAGAAAAAAGTTCTAATTGAGGAAAACATTATCACCATCCAATAATTGATTAGCTTTGTATCTCAAAAAGAGAAATTATCTACAAATGACTATTCCTTATTTTCATACACTATTTTTAACTAGCAATTCATGTTTACAGCATAAACCATCAAAGAGGATAATTGTATCAAAGAACAAGAAGCAATGCTTTAGCGGACACAATACTAAATTAATTACTATGTGATACTATTAAAGTATATATATCTTCTACTCATACCAAAGAGAAAGAGGCAGTGTTTCACTGAATAAAAGTTTGCAATATTATCAGTGTATAGATACTCTGATGATTAGTGAACGAGTCAGAATTTCCAAATTAGGGATTCAAAATTTGACAAAATAGATACATGAAATGGTTCAAAAGAGTTCGACATCTTACTATATATATCTAACAAATTATTTTAACCATATAATGTTATATATAATTTTCTGCCAAAGAAAATTCGAATGCTGCTGATGACCCCTATGGTAAGGTGTTTTCGCCTCTAATAATAATATCAGCAGCGGTTCATTGAATAGAGCAAAGGACAATTAGAAAAATAGTTTGAATTATGGATTCAAATCAGAAAAATATATTAAAGTAAATCCAATTTAAATAAATATTTAACCTAATGAATTTAATTTGTGTAGTTTTCCTAATTTAAATGTGAGCCAGGCTCATTAAGAAGAAAACGGTCCATCAATCCACACGTCCTTGAATGTCACAATCAATTCAAAAAACTAAATAAATGCCTCCCCCGTTAACAATAAGAGGCCGACGTGAGTTGTCAACTTGTCGGCTTCGATGAAGTCATTTTCAAGCCGATCAATCTATCGGCTCAGCGTTTTTGCCCAACTGGGACCCACAAATCCTTTCTACTGTAGTCGGTATAAAATTCTTATCCTAATGTTGTACACGTGAACACAACCTCCTCATGTACACGTGGAAGGAATTTAGTGGCTGGTTACAGTATTTTCCACGTGGGAAATCAATCAAAGTTGCTGATTTGGTACCGTCAGATTTGATCATGAGAATCCCATTGATTCTTGATTGTTAATTATCATGACAACAGTCAAAATTACTTGTTTAGGTTATCTTGTTGGATTTCATTCTATTTCGTATCACATTTTGATTAGCAAAAGATTTGCGATTCTTTTACACAAATTATAAACATAATCATACGAATCTAATTCAGCTTAACGATTACTTAAAGAGGGAGAATAAGTATCTAAGACACTAGATTAGTCATTGATTAAGTTCAGTTCCAAAGTATCAAGTCTTCTCCAATAATGTTTTCTTATTTTAGAGAATTGTTATTTTTGTATTACATATAAATTTTAGTCCTCCTAATATAAGAAAAGAGTTGAGAATAATGATAAAAGAGATTCAATCATTGATTTATACTTTGTTTGACCAAGCTTTTGAGAAGTCAGAAGTTCTTGTTTTAAAAACCAAAAAAAAACTTCTTTGAGCGCTAATTGTTCCTCCAAAGTGTTTTTTAATTTGATTACCAAACTACTTATATCCAAAAACACTTTTAGAAAAAAAAAACTAATTTCAAAGTTTGATCAAATACCTGACATTCTAGTGTTTTTAGGATTATCCTTGTCTAAATACCTGAGTCTGACACTAACCATAAAACAATAATAAAAAAGGCACAGATTAATTCTCTAACAATATATATAAAATGGAATTAATGAACAATAAATTGACCAACAATCAGATGAATTATTTTGAAGTGACTTCAAAAAAAATAAATTGAACTTGGACGAGTTCAAACGTAATGACATAACAACAAAAACTAAGAAAGTCAACCTCAAATTTGCTTAAGATAGAAGCATAGTCGTTAATTGTTGTTGTCTTCATCGAGTAATATAGTTTCACATTATAAATGAGCTTAAATGTAGTAGAGTTTCACGAGAACTTTACTCGGTCCAACATTAGCAAATTTGAATCTTATTAAACCAAAAATAATTGGTGCCTTAAATGAGAAATGGAGCCATCATTGCCAACTTTGTGGAACTGTTTTTCTTAGAGTTCGTGCTCACATTTACTAGAAATGAAAAACCACACAAGTCGGCAGGGATAACACGGATATCCTCTCTGTTCATTTTTATTTGCCCCCTGTTTAACTTTAGCACATTTATTAATAAAACAACTAATATCAATATTTTACTAAACAATATGTTTTAAAACATGGAAAAGACACTAGTAACTATTTTTTCTTGATATGAGAAAAATGACGAGTAAAAATAAACGGTGAGTAGATTGAGAAAAGAAAAGCCAACATCAAATCAATTCAGCATTGAAGAGGTTTCTTAATATTTGAAGAAACATTTGCTGTACATGCATTGTACAGTGACGCTGTTTCAAATTCAATGGCCTTAAAGCCCACCAACGACCTCTTTTGTCCGCAATTCCCCAAAGTCACCGTGTGGTCATGTGAACTGTGAAAGAAGGGGGGCTAGCTTTTATCCCTTTGTCACTTTCTCCACATTTTCTAGAACTATCCTCCCATGGCTCCCACTACAAAAATTACAACTAGATTTTTTAGTCCACTCCTATCTAGTATCATTCTCAATATTCCCAAGCTGGCCACTCCGTGGGCATGACAATGACCCCCCAAGACCACTCCACCAATCAAGTTCACAATTGACCTATAGAACAATGTCTATCTCGTCCACGTAAGACAAGTATTAGGCGCTAAAATACATTCAAAATTTTAGTGCAAACAAGTACCAATTTAAATTCAACAATTGATGCATTGATTTAGAACCGCGACCAATATGAGATGAATTGGCATATGGCATAGCAGGGTTTGTATATTAGCAAAAAGGAAAGATTTTTTAGTGTGAGGATCGGGTAATACGAATGCAAAGCTCTGGCTTCCAGGTGCAGCAAAAGGGTTGTCTCACAAGTCACAACATCCGGCCCCTCAACATGGCTTCTGCTTTCCTTACCTGCTTCAGGGGTCCAATGATGAAAACCTGATCAAATGAGAAGATTGGTGTTATACATATCAGATCAACATCCCTCAACCTGTAAAGAATTTGATAATATAATCGAAGATATCATTCTACTAAGCTTGCACTTTAAATATATATATTACTCAACTTCTTTGTTACCCAGGCTAATATTTACATGCTAAAATGCAATTCTCAGGCAGGCAGGCAGGCAGTTTAACAAGTGCAGACGATTACTATAGGATCCTTTTCGAATAAAATGTTTTGAAAGGATAAACTGAGACTCATCCGGAGCTGGCCTTGGAGTGAGGACAGAAAACCTTGGGCCAGAAGTATGAGGCTCTTGTCTCGCAAGACTTGGCCTCAAGCATCCAGACATGCGCCGTGAACAAGCCCAACACCCAATGTGGCTCATCCCATCTTTTCTCCGCAATTAGGTGTAATTAGCCTAGATCTACAAATTTCTTCACTAATCCTGGACTCGCTATTCTAAAGTTTAAAACTTGGTTGCATCTAAAACCAAAAATACAATAATGACAAGAGTGGTCCATTTTTTTTCCTTCTAATAACCATGGTATCTGGACTAGCTTGCGCCTCAACTAATTCCTGGGGAAATTGCTACCTCGCTTCTCATCATCACTAGTATTGGGTAGCTCTGGTCACCAATGCTTGGACAAATGTGAAGAATTCATCTAGACTACTGTTTTAGCCTCTGCTGAGGCTCGAATTATAGTACTAAACATATTTCAAGAAACAAAAATTCTCCTTCACATATAAAAGTGTATGGCTTGTTTTTTACCACATGTTTCGAAAGTTATTCTTCCTTTCTTAAACTCCATGTCCGATCGAACCACCACATAAATTCAAAGGGAGGGAGTACGTGTTTATATATACCAACCTTGTCTGGCGCTCCCTTCGATCCACTGATTAGGATTTCTGCCCTGCAAAATGTTTCATATTAGGACCACTAATAGCATGTTTGGCCAAGCTTCCAAAATCTCTTATTTAGAGAAGTGTTTTTCAAAAACAATACTTTTGGAGAGTAGCAATTCGTGTTTGGCTGATCAATTTGAAAATCACTTTTGTCAATATTAGAGCAGTAATGTGTACCTGACCAAGGTTCAAAAAGTGCTTCTAGGAAAAAGCTATTGCTACTGCTCAAAAACACTATTTTTTACATAAAAGCTTGGCCAAACACTTCAATTCTTTAAAATAAGCACTATCTGGAAAGAAAAAAAAGGTAGTACTTTTAGCTAAAAGCTTAGCCAAACAAGCTATAAACCAGCAAACAAGAATGACCAAAGGGAGAGACTATTACTTGCATGATTCTTTGATTGACAAAATTGAGGATCCTTTTCTACCAATGACGCATCCCATTTTCCCGGGTGGCACATCAAGTATGGACAAGATCTCGTCTTCTAAAGTTTCTCTTTCCACATTGAGGAACTCTGACAAGACTAATCGCGTTTTTAGCAGAAATGCACCAACATAGTATAGGTTAAAAATGTCTAGAAAATTGATGAGCTACAGACTTTCACAAAATAAATTTTCAAAATCATGTACTATTTTAAATTCACATCTAAACAGTTCTTGTGTTATACTTTTCACGGGGCAGCTTAATTTTCTACTAACTTGTAGGATCAAACCCGGCAAAAGTCAGGACAAGGCTCCAATGTCTTAATATAGTCATGAAGGATAAGAAACTTCTACAATTATATAAAAGTATATCCATAAAAACAACATATATCTTTTTTGGTGCCACTATATGCATTCATAGCCTTGGTGGAGAGTTCGAGATCACCTGGAATAGAAGGGATTGCTGGCCAATCAGCATATTCATTGTCACTTATGCAGAAACACCGACAACAAAGTGAACCACGAACTGCAAGTCTCCACAATGATTCTTCACTCAATTTCTCCATCATCCTATGGAATACGTATGGAAGAAATCGAACATCATCAGCAGCTGCACGGACCATCAGCTCAGATAATGGTCGGTAGGTCCAAAACTGAGGATCCTGTATAAAAAGGAACTAAGCAATATAATTCTAGAAGGTACATAAGCCATGATACTGTGCGGAGAAGGAGTACATAAGCATGGAAAGAAGCTCCATATAGTTAATCTAAGACTAACATGAATTTGAGAAGTGAAAGGTTGCTGTCAAGTATAACTGAGCAAAACCTGAAGCCTTTTGGGCCAGTATGTTATCTAAATGCAATACCATTTTATGTGATCGGCAACTATTTTGAAGAGCCATCAGGTCTAAGGTTGAAATCCTAGAGAACAGAAAAACTCTATGCGACTTCTTCCCATCTGCCTATTTAATTGTGCCGGCGTAAAGTAGCAGGTATCTGGTGGAAGGTGAGGTGAGCGCGAGACATCCCAGATACCAGTGTAATAAGAAATAAAAAATAAGCTATCTCAAAGAGGACATAGTTAAATGAAGCAATAAACAATGAAAATCTTGTCAACCCATCCTCATTTCCAACAGCATCGATAGGAGGATGGCTTTCTTTTTTCCTTTTTGTATTCTTTTTATTTGGGGGTCGGAGAGGCATAGTAAGACTTTGGTTTATTTCACAGTGTTACTTCTGGAAGACTAATTGTTGCCAGTTGCCCAGTTGGTAATTGTTTCCATATTTTTCTACTACCAAAGTCTTTGAAAACCATCCAAGAACTTTCTCAAAATGCTCATTTCTTCTGTAAGGCTTTAAACTGTTATCTGGGAATGATATCCAAATATGCATGTTCCACATGGTAGGCATGTCAACTGAAGAAAGGAAAAGGTAAAACAGAATCCAACCTCCTTCAGAAGGGAACAGACTTCTTTTTTCTCCACGTATGATATACCTGCAATCACATAAAACAATACAAAGTGAAGTGTATTACCTAGGATTCCATAGAAAGCTCTTTCTAGAGATGATCATCATGAAAGTTCATTTCATTACCTAGGATTTCATGCGCAAAAGCAGTCAGAGAGGAGAGGTGGTTAGAGGCACAAACTCCACTGGGAGTGCAAAATATATTTGAGGTTATATTGCCAGTATCAAGAAGAGTACTTGCTGTACACTATAGAATTGTTGCTTCAATTGTTTTCTTTAATTACAATTCGAAGTTATGAAGTAACCAGACAAGAATATTTTTCCTTTAGAAGGTTCCTGGTCCTCCCTTTCCCTATTAATTTGAATTTCATTACAGCATTACCATGACAACTTGAAATATGCATATTAGTTTGTTCCCTAGTCAAAACTTACAGAACAATATCACTTCCCAATGTCATCTCCCATAATGCATGGTTAACACAATGTTGAAAAGACATTCCTCAAAGAATGAGATGCACTTCAAAGAAGAAATTTGCAATTCTTTTCCTTGTCTTTTTATGATTAAAAACCATAAGAGCAAACATAATCACTACCAAATCCTAGATGGTGTCTTCTGTTTTTCTCAAAACCAAATCTAAACGTTTCCAGGAACCAAACTTATCTGGTCATCCAGTAGGGATTCTTGCATTTAACCACTCAATTTTCATATACTTAATGCAGTCACCACATGGGAAAAGATAAATAGAAGCAAAACAGAGACATAGTACCACAATAACGTGGATCCGCAAGAAGGCGCACAAAAGAGATATGGCCATCTTGTGAGCTCTTCTTCCCCAACTGTTCCTCAATCAGATAATAAGCTATCTGTACAACATAGAAAGATAAGCAGTCAATGTGATATAAAAGCAACTTTGTTTCTCTGTTGGAAGTTAGTTAATATTCAGGAGTGATATGCATTAAATAAACCACGTCTGGAATAAAGAATCAGTGAGAAATGATTCATGTAATAATCCGAGAGAGATTTTTACTGCACAGAGGAAGCAGTATCATCACAGCCAGCAACTAAAAAAGAAAAGTGTCTTGATGCCAAATCACCATATGAAGTTCTCGAATTTTTTTCCCCAGATTCATCATTTGAGCATCTTCAAAATTACATGCCATCCCCAATCAGTTAGAAGTCATAAAAAATGGTGCAGTAAATTTCACAAACTATAGAGAGATACAAGCAGAGCCAGTGTAGAAATCAAAACTATCATGGCTGGAAATCAGCACAATCCAGGTGAACTATAATAAAACAAATATCATAAATATGAGGTTGTAGAAAGGAAAACATGCAATGAGTATGAAAAGGGTCGGGTTAAGCAGATAGAGAGTAACGTGTGAATCACTTATTACTTTAGTAATTTAGTCGAAAAGTGTTTCACAGGATAACATGAGAAACTAGTAGTCAAGTAGCTCGAAAGAAAGTACCAGAAGCTAACTTGGGTATCCATAACATTGTGCAACTTGATACCAAACTGATAGAATAATGCCTGAAAAAGAAAGAGGAAAAACATGACAAAAATGATACAAGAGGGAAGGAGAAAAAAGAGGAGGCTAAACGAAGTTCTATAAGACCTCACTATCCCGTTTGCAGTCGTGAATAACTTTTGTGACATAAACAGACTCAAGAGCAGGCTTACAAGCGTTAATCAACTTTCTCCCACCGCGTATTGCATCAACCAAGTAGATAGCGTCCGGAAAAGCAAGCTAGTAATTTAAATGAGGAAAGGTCAAAATCCATACTTCATCAAAAAGAATGTAAAGGTCAATCAAAAGGTGAATATGATCAAGCCCCACACAAATTTCTCGGAAAATACCTATAAAAATGTGAAACTAAGCATGGAATCACCTAACCAACCAAGACAGTCAATTTACACCTCACAATTTATACACTAGATTGGACTAAGGATGCCAAAAAGACAAGTTTTTATCAATGCCCTCGGGTACTGGATCCATTAATTTGGAACAGAGCAGGTATTTGATTTGGATGCATAAAGTCTTAAAGAGGATTATATCTACGGTTTTTACATTTTTTCATTGTCAGGCAACGAAAGATAAGGAGATAATTCTCTGGATGTCAGCAACTAATACAGACTTATTCTTCAAGAAGTATAGCAAACTACCAATGTGTTTTTGCTTTGCAAGAAAACATATATTAAGTAATGATACTCATAACAAACTTACAAAGCTACTGCTGAGTAACATCATAATATTGAAAATCAAGTGAGGCACAAAGTTGGTATCTACTCAGAACATGTGAGAACTGAAAAAAACCTGCACAATATAGAGAGTTCCATATCTACAGAGGTCAACACCCTCGCAGTCAAGTCCAACAACCATCTCATTTTTTGGAGAAGGGTAGAGAAATGTGGCTGGAAGTTGAGATTCATGGCTGATGATATAAATGGGGACTGGTTTTAAAACTACTTCATGATCAACATGCCTACCACCTGCTCAAATGCATGATAGCTCATAAAAAACTAAACACAAGAAAACAAACCGCAAAAATGACAAAAGAATGTATGATTATCAGGATAAAAACACATGGCAGTTGACTTGTGCCGAAATAGCAATTACGATTTGTAGCATGCAAAAGATAAATTATGAAACCATATATCAACAAAATCAAGAACCCTAACCTCAAAACTGTTTTAAAGCCTTAGAATCGTAGGAACTTGAAGAGAGTTGATGGAGTTTTAGGAAGAAAAAAAAAAACAAAAATGGAAAGTCGAGATTGATGATAAGTAAGAAATACCACCATCCACCAAACCCCCACTACCACCAGCCACTGAAACAGAGTAAACCCCATTTGCAAATTTCTGGTAGAGTAAAATCCACGGGTAAAATACAGCATCTCAAACATCAAGGTTACTATATGCAAAAGGGGAAACGAAATAAATCAAATAAAAGCCCTAATCATTCCCAAAACCTCAAATTAACAACACCAACGCCAAATATTGGGTGATAGAAAAGACCACCTGAATTGAAAGATGGCAGAGGAATGTAAGTTTGATGAGGAATGGATGCTAAAGCCATATGATTGAAAAATTTGAAACCTAACACATTCAATATACATAACTAAATACATACCTGCAGAATAGTGCTTTTAGCCCTGCAGAATAATGCTTTTAGCCCTACTTTTCCCTCTTTTAGTTAGGCGAAACATGTTCCTGACACATTTGCCTATGTTGATATTGGAAATTAGCAAGTTACATGATATCAATTCTCAAATAGTTTAAGAGTATGATGATTTGAGTTTTTTAATAATGATTTCGAATTTATATTTATAACTGAAAAGGTCAAAAATATTTTTAAACTACTCCAAATATTGGAGTGCATATTTACATATGCTCAAGTTGGTGTAATAATATTCAGAACTTTGTTCAAAAGTTTTAACTCTTCTAAGGGTCTAATATGTGTAATTATTTGTGAAAAGGTCCTTCTGTTTGGTCCATTCTGAAGCCTTGATTTTATCATCTACTTGGTTAGTTTGGGCCTTTGTACAATGTGCAGAATAACAGTATTCTTATCTATGAAGATCCAAGAGAAATTAAAAGTTACACATTGTGATTCCTTCAACGTGCCTTGAATCATTTGCATGTAATCTGATCTGGAACTTCCAACCCCAAGATAGTATCCATTGTTCCCTGCACTGAAAGTAAAATATGTACTCCAGGTATAAACATGTATACATGTCATGTCACTCATACTCTAGTCCCCAGCCTAAACATATACAAACATGTAACACCAAAAACATTAAGTATATATTGTACGATTAATTGTTTCAAACTAATTATTAAGATTTGAACATATATATGACATTATATATCTTGTTTAGGTGGTATAATTTTTCAAAGTAAATTACGTAATTCGTAGCCCCTCATATGTGTGACAGGTGTTTCATGAGACAACAAAGGGATCCAGAATGAAGCAATACAAGCATTGCTAGAGACTAAATGAAGCTAATTGAGTGGGTTACCACTTTTACATTTAAATGGGGAAAAAAAAATTGTGACTCTGGATTGAAGTCTCTTATATGTTAATATTCTTTTACATATTTTTTTTTCGTTATTTCATGAGAAAATCTCATCAAATATGTACTGTTGAAGCAAATTCAGATGTGGAAAAAGACCAAAAACTTCTATAAAATAAGACTAATGCTCATGTATAAAAACGTCAAAACCAAATGTCTCAAAGCTAATTAAGTAATTAAAGTACTTATTAAGGTGCTTAGGAAGCCCCTGTTTAAGTTAATATTGCATTGGCAGCCTTGATGGCCTTTTTCTCATCCGTGTTCCAAGAAAATAAGTTTCTTTTACAGCTCAAACGGATCTTTGTTAATCCTAAATTTAATCATATCAATCAATTGAACAAACCATCGCTTCATGACTTCCATTTCTGTTCTTCCACTTTCTAATCTCATAGGAATCTATGTCAGCAGTACCAGAACGCAGCAATAACAATTACAGACGCAAGAAATTCAACTAGTTGGAATCAAGATGTACAACTGGTTTATCACCGAAGCTCAAGCGCGCAAACACATTCAATATGAGGTGTGTGGGGAAACATGTCGACTGGTTGTAAGCTACTCAGTCTATAACGTCCCTCTATATTCTGCTCCGGCTGCATTTGAAATATGTCATGGACTTTAGCAGAGTGAATGATAGTAATAATTATGGACTAATATGAGAACTCAAATACTTACCACACCATAGCAGAGATAATTAAGGTCACGAGCACAAGTGGCAGGATTACACGATACATAAATGATCCGTGATGCTCTCAATCTTAGCAAAAATTTGATCAATTTTATGTGCATTCCAGGGCGATTAGGATCTGCAGGTTCGGCAACATAATATAAATGTAAGCAAGTTTATGGGAACTCCAAAGGTGTACCAAGAAAAAGGTGAAGGATTGCAATTAAATCATGGTCTCACATGCCATTCACATAACATACTTGAGAATGCCATCGGAGACCTAATTTTGAGAACTGCATAAGATATTATCTACCACAGGAAGGCAACTTTATGTTGAGACATTTAACTATAGGGAAACAACTTCCTCGATCATTGCTTTTTGGAATAAGCATTCTATGTAATATATATATATATATATATATATATATTATTTTATTTTTTTCTTATTCGGAAGGTAAGTCCATATTAAGAAGCCTTAAACACATTGTAAACAGAAGATTCTATGAAACTTCCAAAATTTCCATTATAGTTATACGGATATGTACAAGGTGGCTACTTCAGGCTGTCTTCTTACTATGGCTCATACCACAAACTGGGACCAAAGTTCATTGCCTTTGCCATCTAGTTGTTCTGTTGATCTCCATCTTTTTTCATTGAAGGGGACAAGAACAGAAATCTAACCTAAAGACTGACCAAAAGCAGATCAAACATCCTGTTTTAACATGACAGAGGCGACGCTTCCTTTCTAAACAATTTTCACACTTCAATGTACGTTAGTTATTTCATTCTGATTATTCTTATACCAGCAGGAGTGTAGGACTAATCTTACGATATCCCTGCTGCCAGGAAGTGAATTGGGAACTTAAACTGAAGGGTATTCACAAAGCAATTTAGTCCCGGGAGACTAACCAATAAAACATTCATAAGCTTCATAAAACCAAGGTTTGTTAAAGCAACGGAAGTTAACGCTTCAAATGAAACATATCATCCATCAGGAAAACAAGAAGAGAATAACCTGTGATAACAATGTCAGGCTTGGGCAAGTTGCTCGCGAAGGTCGAATCAATTTTATTCAAATCACCTTCGATGAAGGTTGCATTATTGATGAAATTTAGAGTGGCATTTTGACGTGCATCTGATACAGCTTGAGCTACTACTTCAAAACCATAAACATGCTTCACCCTGCAAATTGAAATAGAAATAAATGTCAGATCAGCAAAATCTAGAACTTGCAGCTCAAGGAAGAAAACCTATATACCTTTTGGCCAGTGTAAGGCCAATGGTTCCTGTCCCACAAAATAAATCAAGAACAATTTCAGACCCATCTCCTTTAAGAAATGCACAATCCTCAATTAATTTATAGAGAACATCAGCCTGCAAAGTTCAAGAGTTTGTATTTAGCACCAAATTTTTAAAAAGAAGGAAAAACAAACACGGTTTGGAAGTATAAACTGAAGAGATCAAGGTACTAGCCATTTCTTTACCAAATACCTGACGTGTGTTCGTCTGAAAGAAAGAGTTTGCTGAAATCTGGAAAGTAAGCCCTCTCAAAATCTCTGTGATGGTAGATTTTCCATACAACGTATATTCCTTCTCCCCAACAGATGTGTTGCCGATAGAAGTATTCACATTATTAACAATGCTTACCTGTTAAATATCAATGACAAAATTTAGTAGCAATGACACCATAGATAATTTTTCTATAGCAGATGCAGACTGACAAATGAAAAAGTAACTTTGTGGAAAATAGAAGGTTCGGTGGCATCCCAAAAAAACGCAATGGCCAATGGGTCCACCTATAGGAGAGAAGAGCTAATCAAGAATTTGACTCATGAAACCAGAACTTGTCTCAGGATGGAATCACTTTAGTAGTCGAAGTAATATGATTCCCAGAGTAAGCAAGCAATATAGGAATTTCTTCACCTAAAGAGACAAAAGAATGAAGTTATCTGCAATATGTTAAACCTACCACTTCAGGAATAGTGGCGATTTTCTCAACAAGGGGCCTCAAGCATTCAGGATTGTCAGAAGAAGTTACAAAGTTAACCATAAGTTCAGGAAGACCAGTTTCAATATTCCTGAAAGGAAAGGCCGTAAGAAAAATTATCGTTAGGTGCAAGGTACATCATACAAAAGATATGAACTTTATATACAGCATGACACAGACTAAAGCTTCCTGGGGAAGAATCTGAAAAACGAAAGACTTAAGACTTGCTCAAGAACCTAAGAATTCAGCCCCAAAACATAATGTGGAATACCTGATAGTAAAACTATATACATAGCTACTCATGGATCTTGCAAGCCACCCCAATGCCCTATCCCACGGCCCCACCCAAAAAAAGAGAGGAAGAAACGGATGATGACTTCAATGCTTTATTCACAAAGGGCAGAAATAAGATCAAATACCTGCCTGATCTAAGCATTAGATGCTTCAGAAAGCCAGTGTGAGAGTGCACATTCCACGGAGAAAGCCCCAACTCTGGATCCCGCCAGCATTCTTGCACAGTTGCGAGAACCTAAATCACAAAATCATGTTTATACAAGAAGAAATTACATCATACAATATCACCGTTGAAATAAAAAAACCATATAAAGTCATGACTAGTCGAAGGCAGAATTGAAAAATAATAGATGGAAAAATTTATTCCAAGCTCAAATCTGCGAAGAGTACAAATGAGGGTAACAAGATGCTCTCAGAGCTGTCTAATTGCATCTACACATAAAGATCAACATGAGTCAATTATAAGTGATAGGTCTAGAATCAGGTTAAACAAAGGTGAATGAGCTAGACGGCAACTTTAATTTATTGGTGTTCTAGCTTAAGGGAGTTGTAAATGTTCTAATCCCCCTTCACAATCTATAGTAAAATGACAACCTAGAACTCAGAAAATCTCATTTCTGTCTGTATCTTCAATTCCAGGTATCCTGATATGTCTGTAATTTGCTATCGTCTTTACTAGTGGAGTGAAAAGAAAAAGGGGTTTTGGAATTATCTGCCATCTCAATTCAGATTCCTAGTCAACCTAGTACGCCTCCTTCCTCTTCACCTCAGTACACCTGTGCTACCATCAATAACTTCTAGGTTGATATGCTAAATATTGTTGTAGATGTGCTTCCCTATTTCTGTTACCACTTTGAAGCTGATGTATCCGTGAAACTCATGCATATTTTCGTTCTCTTTCTCCAAAGACATTATGATGCTTTCTTCTCCCCTCCTGGACTCCCTACAATGACCGTCCTCCTCAAACTGCACGGCTCTCATTGCCAGATATCTGAATCCTTTTTTAAATAGTGCTTTATTAATGCTTTTTTAATGCATTATGATGTTATTTTTAATATTTTGCCTTAAATCATTTTACCCTAACCCCCTATTTCTTATGAGA